AGTGGAGCAATAAATTGATGTTTTAAAAATATTATAATGTTGAGTTTTTATTGTTTGTCTTCTTTAAAAATTTTTAATATATTTCTTTTTTGATTTCAGAGAGGAAAGGAGAGGGAGAGGGAGATAGAAACATCAATGATGAGAGAGAATCATTGATCAGCTGCCTCCTGCAGGCCCCCAATCCGAAATCCAGGCATGTGCCCTTGGCTGGAATTAAACCTTGGACCCTTCAGTCCACAGGCTGATGCTCTATCCAGTGAGCCAAATCGGCTAGGGATATTTTTTTGTCTTCTTTAAATCATTCTCCAACAAAGTGAGAAAATAAAGAAAATGTTAAAAAAAAAAAAATTATAAAGCTAAATATATTCTTAATTTTTAAATTATGCCTCTTCCTACAACGTTTGGCATTAAATGTCCTTTATGAGATAAAAGTCAAAGGGGACATTAGAAAAATAACTATTGTCAACCGCTCACCCCCCATATTATCTTATTTTTAAAAATTATACTTATCTATAAAATTCAAAAGTCTAAGATCCATTGGTTTAGCAAACTATATACAGTTAATATTATTTCTGAGAAACTAACTTGAATAAAGGAAGCGATGATCAAAAGGAAACCAGATTTGAAATATTTCTGAATTTCCCTAAATTCATCCACCAAAGATCTCATAGGCTTCAGTTCTCAGTTTCACATGTTAATGGATTTGTTAAAAACATTTCACATTTGATATTTGCATTACTAATTGCTCTTTCAGTATTTTGATATTTCCTGCTTTTGAATGGGCCCTTAGTGTCCTAGGTTACTTCACTCAATCAACAAATATCCAGATTCCCTGATTTATGCAAGGTACTCTATTAGGTGTCTGGGGACAGTCTAAAGGATTCTTTCTTATCTCGTATCTCAGGTCAAATGTCACAGGCCAATGTAGACACTACCCCTCCCCCCCAGCAAAGAAGAATAAAAGCATTCCTTGGGGCTGTGCTCTTCTACCAAGGCCTACATACCTCTCTGTATGTGGTTATTTGTCTTCCTCCCTCAACTCTTCCAAAGTAAACACTATCTTGTCAGTGCTACCTTCCTAGCACAGTGCACATATAGCTGGAGATCAGTATAAATTCATGGAATACATATTTTTACAGATGAGAACAATAAAGGTCAAAAAAAGAATATGACGTGTCCAACATCATACAGCTAATAAATAAGTAATACCCAGTCACCAGAGTTCTCTTCTATTCCACCATGCCACATTATACGTGTGGACAGGGTGAGAGAAAGATCTTAGATGTCTTCCTGGAACTTCAAACTCAACATGTCCAAAAGTCACTCCTTCTTAAAAAAAGCAAACAAAAACAAAGTCCCCATCCAATGTTCTCATTCTCTGTAAATTGTGGCTCAAGAAAAAAATCAAGTTATCTTGACTCTCTTCTCCCTATCCGCACATCCTATCAATTAATAATCTTATCAATTATAATCTTCAAACTTTGTGTCTCTCTAATCTCATCCCTTCTCTCTAAGATTCTGACACTACCCTGGATCCAAGCCACCATCATTATTTACTTAGACAACAAAAATGACATACAACTTGGTCACACATTCAGTTTGGCCAATTCTCTCCAATCTTTTCTTCCCTTAACAGCCATGGTGAGATTTTTAATATCTTTCTATATATTACATTGAACCAACTACATAGGTAATTGAACCTTCCATTACCATCCTAAAGTATTTGCATTCAAGTCTCTTGAAATGTCACTTTCTACTGGAAACTTTCCCTGACTCTTCTGGACAAGGGGAGAGCATCAGTTAGGCACTCCTGTTCCACCTTGTAATACACACACACAAACACACCCTTTGTCAGTAACACTCATCACATTTGCAATAACTTGTTCAATGATTGTCTCCCTATTAGAATATAAGCTCTATGGGGGCAAGAGAAGCTTCTCTTTTCCCTGGTGTATCCACGGTCCTTAGAACACAGTAGCTGCTCAATTAATATTTATTATCAGAATGATAAGCTGGGCCCAGATTGCAGCAGGCCAAGTAAACCAAGGGGCAAGGATCATTGTCCCTTTGTAAAGATATAAACTAAAATAGAAAGAACTGCATAGTTATTCAAGAGCACAGAAATAGCATTTCTCCTCCCTAAAACACTAAGAAACATGGTTGGGAAAGGGAACATCTGAGAAGAACACTAGAAATGAGAAGATGGTATAGAGAAGAAGTCTAGGATAACAGCTTCTGAATCAGCCTGTCGTACTAGTTGCTTCCAGATAGTTAGACATTACACTTTCCATGCCTAGAGAAGCACTCATGTTAAACAAACAAATATAACCACCACCACCACCACACTCTTCTTCTTAAGAGGGGGAAATAAAATAACAAACTTCCTTCTCCACAAATTAAAAACCACAGGAGAGAAAGATGTCTTTACGCCCTAACTAGTCTGGCTCAGTGGATAGAGCGTCGGCTTGCAGACTGAAGGGTCCCAGACTTAATTCCAGTCAAGAGCAGGTACCTTGGTTGCTGGCACATACCCTGCGCAGGAGGCAGTTGATTGATGTTTCTAACTCTCTATCCCCCTTCCTTCTTCTCTGTAAAAAATCAATAAAATATTTTAAAATAAAATAAAAGGGCTCTTAAAAAAAAGAAAAGAAAAAAAAAAAGATGTCTTTGCTCAAGGTGTCCCTTCTGGATGATGCTCCACAGCAATCAACAGAGAAGGGAGGGGGGGAAGGCAGACTTCCCACCACTTACCCGGGCAGGGATGGGGGTGAGGGGGAAAGAGTATTAAATGAGGCAAAAGCCATTTGAAATCTATTTATTCCTTGGGAATCATGAGAGCACTCCAGGTAAAGCATTTTAAAACCTTGCTAACCCATTGGCAGCTCTTAATAAAGGCAGCAATACAGTTGGCATGAGCTCTACTGCAACATTTCATTGTTCGCATGCTGCCACAGAAGCCACAAACCAGGCTAAAAGGTCAGGCCCGATGTTGCTCATCCTGCCAAGCACCAACGGAAAGACAGGAGAAGGACAAAGCCTCCTCAAAGAGAACTCTGTGGAATAAATACTCACACTGCCTCCACGCAGCCCGGAGTTTCTGGGTAGGGTGGATGGAGAATGGGCGGGGAGGATATTCAGAGACTGGGAAGAAACCTAAAGAAACAGCTGTGATATACCGGTGATAAGAGGGAGATTCTGAAACACGGAGGAAAAGTGAGAATCGCAAATGGAGAAATGGGAAAAGAAACGGAAAGAACTTCAAGAGATGTAGAAGGGTCGGGAAAGGAAGGTACAAGAGAAACAAGTAAGGTGCCCCCAAAAAGCAGACAGTAAGCAACAGAGAGAGACACACAGAGAGGCAAAGCCAGGCAGACCATCTTTTCCCAAATCCAAAAGCTGGTCACTGCGTCCCAATAAATCACTCCACTACAAAGCCCACACAATGGATTGTCCTTTGCATTCAGTAAAAAAGCAACATTAAATGAAGCACCACCCAGATGTAACTTTGGAGATCTAAGGATCAGAATTAAAAATGAGCAAGATCAATTCAGCAGCAGAACATAACCAGTAAAGACTTTCCCCCCAATGCCTGACTTGACTATGAAAAGGTCTGGCCTTTTAGAGGTAAGCATAAAGTGCCTGGCGTTTTCTCCTTCTTTTGACATTCTAAGAGGGGGGTGTGGTTGACCCCGGGTCTATTCATTTCCAACGTTGCAGATCTCTCAGCTAAGACTGGCCCCATCTGTTCTTGAGTCAGCCAGTTGTTTATGTCCAAGTAACATATTTATTGCACTCATCATCCTAATTACTTACAAGAAGAGCCAACATGAGACAAGTCAGAATGCTTTCTGTCCTGTTAAATATGTTAGTTCCTTTAAGAAGAAAAACAAAACAAAAATACTACTATACTCCTTGGTTTCTTTGGCCAGGATCACTTTTTCGTGGGTACCTTCCAGTAATGGCAAATGAAGGTGAACGGCGCTTCTAACTTTCCCTCCTCCCCTAACGCGTTGAAACGAACCCAGGTTTCCCTAATGATCCCTTCTCCAGACCGTTATTCGTGCCTGGTTTGACGGAGCCTCAGGAAACAGCAGCTCATTACGGTACCCCTGCCCGTGGCGAGGAGCCTATTGCCATGTAATTTAAAACACTCACACAAGCACCAATCTGTCAGCTCCGCTTCCAAACAAACCCTGAAACCCTGCAGTCGGGGAAAAGAACGCTGAACGAACGAAACGGCTGCTCCCCAGCAGCCCGACGAGGAGCTTCCCGAGACACGTGAAACGTTTCTGACGGGCACGGAGCGCACCATGAAAGGACACGGTCACCTCAGATCCGCAGAAAAGGCGAGGCAAGCGGCACAGACACGCATAGAAAGCAGAGCCCCACACACACACAAAAAAACTTAGCCTCCGGAGAAGAAGCACGCCCAGCTTAAAAGCGAAGAGAGTTTGCTCGCCCAGGCGACACAGAAATGTTCTAAAGTCGTGCGAGCACATTCAATCACTGTCTCCATTTCTCCCCATGCATCCCCCCCTTCCCACTCAGATCTCATTCCCACTCAGACCTCATCCCCACTCAGACCTCAGCACGCGGGCCGTGGGTGACAGGACTGCAGTGGTCCCCCGCCTCAGCCTTCTGATTCTGCAAGAGCACTCACTTCCCAACATCCTCCCCAGCCCAGCCCAGCCCCCTTCTCGGCTTCGGAGAGGTTGAAGGGAGTCGCGGCTAGAGCATTGGCAGGGATCGGTCCTCCCGCGGGGGAAGGTGGCCGGAGTTGTTCTGTACAGTGACCCCAATTGCACAGAGCTTTTCGCTTAGCAGCGCTTGCAAGCAGCTCCCCAATCCTTCCTCCTCTAGCCCCCATCTTCCCAAAAGAAAAAGAAAAAGAAAAAGAAAAAGAAAAAGAAAAAGAAAAAGAAAAAGAAAAAAAGCCTTGATAATGAAGCGGGAGGAATAACTTGGTAAAAACCATTTGAATACAAATCACTTCAACTCACCTGGTTTGGGATATTTCTCCCCACCCCAGGCATAAACAGAAATGATATGCGAATGAGTCACGCACGCAACGTAAGGTGGTGCGAGCGAAGCCTGAAGTCCAAGGGCTGGAGTCAGTCCCTGCCCTGATGCCGCTGCTACTCTTAGCTCAGCTGGAGCGAGCGGCAATCACAAGCCCAGCAGCAGCAGCAGCAGCAGCAGGGGGGGCGGGTAGACCGTAGCACAATGAATGCAGTGGGGTTTTTGCAATGACATCATTCCTCTGTCCGAAAGGCCCCAATAGCCATGCTCGGGAGCGCTGCGTGCTGGGTAATGTAGTCCTCTTCAAGCCTGGCCGGGGCCCGGAGGCTGCCGTTGGAACTACAATGCCCAGAATGCTTCGGGGTCGGACGCGCCCAGAGCGAACTCTGGCAGCAAAGGATGCTAGGCCGCCATATTGCGGGAGCCGGGCCATTCTGCGGAGCCGGCCGAGGCTTTCAGCAGCGCGGGAGGCGAGCGGTGGAGTATTTTGGGATGGAGAGGTGGAGGACAAGCCCGTAGGAGATCGGGAGCCGGAGCCTGGGAACCGGGAGGTGGAGTTTTCACCTGGAGACAGATGTAGGGCGGGCCTGGCTGGAGGCGGCTTCCAGAGGTCGCAGGGGCCTGCCTCGGGGCCTCACGGTTCTGCGGGGGTTGCCTAGGCCCCCTACGCCTCTTGCTCTGTGTTCTAAGTAAGGTACTGAGGGAGTCCGTTCACGCCTGGGCTCGGAGCATCCTTTAGACCCTCTTAACGGGACCGGCGGGTGGTCGATGTCTTTGTTGGGGTGCGGGGACCCCGGGCGGCGACCTTCTCGCCTGTGGTCGGAGAAGATTGCACCCACGGAGTTGGGCTGTCCCCTCCAAATGCATGTTTAACTTCTTATTTTCCACCCTTCCTTACTCCTTCCAGAGGTGTCGGACCCTCGTTGGTGTTTCATGCGGAGTGATTTGCAAAAGGGTCTAAGGAAATCGATGCCGGAAGGTGGACAAGCTGCCAAGGGGCGGACGGTGCTTTGGGGCCGCAGTTGAGGAAGGACAAGGAGCGGCCTAAAGGATAAACAAACCGGGTTAAAATGACATCTTCATTCCTGCCAGCAAAAGGGGGAGAGATGGTGAAGAGGGATATTATTGATGGCTGGCGATCGATTCCCAAGTAGCACAGGTTCTTGGGTAAACCCAGAGAGTATTCGTTAAAATGCTGCAGAGATGGGGTGTTGATTAACACGGCTCGCCAACTTCCTTAAATGTGTGGTACTCCCTAACTACAACTACTTAACAGCTACTTTTTTAAACTAAGTAACTGAAATCAAAACCACTGGTCTTTTAAGGGATTTTGTCTAGAGTCTCAAATGATCTGTATGCCCATTGTGTTACTAAAACAATGCTGTGTTTATTTTTCAGAGTCTGCCTACAACTGTGGGAAGATGGGAGATTTCTTTTCCTCCTGAGGGTGTCTGAAAGGGTTAAAAATGCTGATATACTTTATGGTGTTTGACTTCCTCCGTTTTGCACCTCATTCTGAAAACAAAAGTAACTAGTTATTTTGAGTCAGTAAGGTATGCACTTCACCTGCTAGCAGTTAATAAAACTGTAGCTGATAAATCCTCTTGTCAAAGAAAGGCTAGGCACCATTATTACACACGACAAAAGCATGGTAGAAATAGTCTCTTAAATGTAAGCAGTTTTATGAAGAATGATCTTATATGTCACATTTCCCGGAACAAGTCACAGATGAACGGCTTTGTTTTATTTTTAAACAAAGATAGTATGTATTAATCTCATTTGCCCATGAATATAACAGTGGGAAGGGCTCATGCAAATAATTCTGTTATTAAAAAATACCTTTGAAAGTAACGGTGGTAAGTATAGGAAAAGGAACCAAGTGTTTACTATTTTATTTCTGACCTTCATTGTAACTGTAGAAGTGTTTCAAGCTTAATAGATATAAAATAGACTAGACAGGTTTACATTTAGGCTTAGTTTCAAACTTAACCCTTTGCACTCCACTGTCCCCTCTCAGGGGACATCGAAATTCTAGCATATCACTCATGTCCCCTCTCAGGGGGGACATTGCAGTTAATTAGTGATTACGGGGAATTGAGTTAATTCAACGCATGTGTCCGCCGCAAAGTAGTGTCGAGTAGCTGGTAGCCAATGTCCAGAATGGTTTGGAGTGCAAAGGGTTAAATTATTTTTAGGGGTTGGTTATACAAAGTTTTTTTTGTCTTATACAAAATTATTGTAACTTGCTCATTTTGTATTTCTTTAAGCAATAACCTCCTCAGTTTGAGTTACTATGGAAGACAAATTTGTTGGGGGGAGAAACACAGATTTCTTAGAAATGTGTGAGAGTGAGACCTACTATGTACTGCACTGATTTCTGTAATTTGCTATGTGTTTGGATAGTTTGAAGTTTTTCTAGCCTTATATCCAATGGACATCTAACCATGAAGAAATGAAATGAATCTAGCTAATAGCTACAGTAAGATTCCATGAGTTAACCCTTAACTTTTTTTTTTTTTCGAGGGGGGAGTAATCTATACTCTTTTTAGAAATTTTAATTACAAAATTAATATTTGAGGAATCAGTGATATCAGCTTCTAAAACAATAAACTCAGTGTCCCAGAGAAAACACTTGGGTTAGGAAAACTGAAAAGTGGAATTAGTTTGGCCTTAAGTAGATAAGAAACCTTTTTCCATCTCTCAAAAGAAAATTAGGGAGGAGCATATGGGGGGATAAATGTGATGGGAAAAATAAAATAGGGTTAGTACATTGATTTTTATTATAATTATAGATAGATCATTAAGTATTGTGTCAGGTTTTTTTTGTTTGTTTTTGTTTTTCAACAGGGTTAAGTGTCAGGATCACCTCTATAGAATCAAAAAATACAGTTATTACCCATCCATCCCTGCCTAATTCTGTAGGGTTGGAACCCTACAAAATTTTTGTGTATTTTTAAAATTATAGGTGATATGGAGGATATCTATAATATTGTGAATAGTATTGGCAAAAGTTTTAGGTTTATTACAAATTATACCCATAAATGAATTGTGATATATGTAAATGAGGAAATCACCCAGGGGTCAATTTATACCCGATAGCTAGGGAGAGAGAAAGAATATAAAAATATCTTAACTTATCTAGATATTTCTTAGAGTAAGGATTTAGTCTAATGCTAAGGAAGTGATAAGACTCTTTTTCAGTAAGAGTTTAATGCAATCAAAAAATTATGGTAAAGCTATTCATATATTTAAAAGAAACAACTCTCTAGAGTCTAGACAGAGGCAGCCAGATACTAAAATTTTTTGAAAATAATTTTTAATAAGTCCCTACATCCTAAATTTTAAAAATTGTTAATTTAATCTTAGTATTATTGATATTTGGGTACAGCATATGTAATACAGTATCTTTTTTAAAAAAAATCAATTTTTATTGCCCTAGCCAGTTTGGCTCAGTGGATAGATAGAGCATGGGTGCACGGGCTGAAGGATCTTGAGTTTGATTCCAGTCAAGAGCATGTACCTTGGTTGCAGGCTCCATCCCTGGCCCCTGTCAGGATGTGTATGGGAGGCAACTAATTGATGTGTCTCTCACATCGATGTTTCTCTGTCTCCCCTCTTCCAGTGACTAAAAATCAATGGAAAATATCCTCAGGTAACAATATGATTTCAGAAAGGGAGATAAATAGATATATCATTGATGACAGAATCATTGATTGGCTGCCTCCTGCATACCTCCTGGGGGTGGAGCTGTAACCTGGGCGGGTGCCCTGAGCAGGAATCAACTGTAACCTGATTCATACTCAACCACTGAACAACACTGGCCAGATATAGTATCTCTTTTACTCCATTACTGTTTGGAGTATACATTCAAAATCCTGTAGCATTCTTGCATGTACAGTATATCTGCTAGAGAATAAAGATAAGACTCAAGAGAACAAGCATTTAAATGTTTAAAGCAGCCTCAAGATTCACACATTTAGGGTCTGTCTTTGAAGGAAGGAGGTCAGTCCTCTTAGAGATGGTAAATGAAGAATGATTTTAGAATTTTAGAGAATATTATCAGTGACCTCTGGATTCCAGCTGCTTCTGTTTCAAATGTATCTTGAATGCCTTGCACAGTATCACAGAAATTAGTAACATTCTTTGCCTGATAATAGCCTCTAGGATGTGAGAGAGGATTAAACAATCTATATAAAGCATTAAGCAGAGGGGGCTTTGGAACAGATAAGTTTGTGTGTGTGTGTGTGTGTTTAAATTTTTAAGGAGTAGCCCCAGAGCAGTTAGGATCCCAAGGACAGAATAGAGATTACCTCAGATGTACTTTTTCAGCAATTTGTTGATGTCATACTTAAGCTCTTACCAAAATAAAGTTTCATTTCTTATGATAGAGACCAACAAAAATTCTTTCCAGTCCTTACCACGTAAGGAATATAAAATTCTCCTTACTGAATTATGTTATGAAGAGATTTTTATAGTACCTAGGGTGGCTGAAATTTAAAAAAAAAAAATTACACAGTAACAGATTTTGCTTGTATACCTGTGTTGCTTGAAAAAAACCAATTGATTTTGAAAACCAGGCCCTATCTTAATTTAGGATCATTGTAATTTGTTCTCTAAAAGAAATCTAAATTATGAAAAATGTTAGAACTGTTTCATGTCTTACATAGTTCTAAAGTAATGCTTTCATATTCCATGCTATGAAATTTGTCTGCTTTTCCGTATCTGTCTTCTAAAAGAGTCAATTTTCATATATATATATATATATATATATATATATTGATTTTTTACAGAGAGGGAGGGAGAGTTAGAAACATCGATGAGAGAGAAACGTCACTCAGCTGCCTCCTGCACTTCTATTGGGGATGTACCCACAGCCAAGGTATATATATGCCCTTGACCAGAATCAAAACTGGGACCCTTGAGTCCGAAGGCTGACGCTCTATCCACTGAGCCAAACTGATTAGGGCAGAATCAATTTTCTTGTTTCCAAAATGAAATGCCAGCAACCCCAAATGATGTAGACCCAGCAGTTACATTAAAAATTACTCTAACCTGATCACAGAGTTGAGACAAGCTTTAAGGGGGAAAAAGGAAAACATTTACCAAAAGATACCTTTTCAGATCTCACCTTAGATGGAGTTAAATGTTTTTGTATTGTACATTTCTATAAGCGGACACAAATGAGCATACCTTATAGGGTTCAGCATTTGGAGTTTCCCTCATTCTGTAAACTTTTTAGTATTTCACATTTTTAAAAGAGTATATTTTATTGCTGTTTTACTGAGAGGAAGGGAGAGAGACAGAATTAGAAACATTGATGAGAGAGAAACATCCATCAGCTGCCTCATGCACACCTCCCACTGGGGATGTGCCGGCAACCAAGGTACATGCCCTTGACCAGAATCGAACCCAGGACCCTTCAGTCTGCAGGCCGACGCTCTATCCACTGAGCCAAACCAGCCAGGGCTAGTATTTCACATTTTATACATTTTACTTTGAGTTAATATTCAGGAAAAGAAAATAAGTTTTCTAGTCCTGTTTAGTTGACTCACTGTTGTATTTGTAGCAAATTGGCATAATTTTAGCTTCTGGTTTCATGTGCTACTAAAGGTAAATGCAGTAAATATCCCAAAGTCAGATTTGAAATCTGAATTCCCATAGTTAATGATTAACCAGAAAAGTTTGCCCTTTGTGGTTTTCTTTCTTTCTGTAGGTTTGGATGATTGAAAACATTTATTTTTAAGAATAAGTATATGCACATGAACTTAATCAAATATTAATATATCCATGAATATAGCCATTTAATAATAAACTAACTTGGTGATTCCTCTTCAACTAATTTTAATTTTAAACACTGCAAGGTAAAATAATACCAAAGTTGGGCCACTAAGTGTAAGCCCCCTCTTTTGTGTTCCTAATAGTCTTCTTTCCATTATGCTCAGTACATCTTATTTTTGTTGAAATTTCAAGACAGTTACCAAAATCCTTGGGTATATTCTTTTCCATTGATTTTTAGAGAGAGAGGGAGGGAGAAACGTTGATGTGAGAGAGACACATTGGTTGATTCCTGAGGCCAGGGAGCAACTAAGTAATGTGTCCTTGAACAGGAATCAAACCCTCAACCTTTTGGTGCTCTGGCCAATACTATACACAGACACACTGGCCAGAGTAAATGCCAAATATTTTTTAATGTTTCTTTGTACATGTATATTCAGTGAAAACTGTAATCCAACCACATGTCCAAGTATTGCTTAACAAAGGTGTATCAGTTTTCTTAGGGAAATGAACAAGGTTACATGATCCATGTCTTCAATTAAGGCATTTGATTAAAAAACAATTTTGAATAATGAACCCTACAGTACTTTATTATAGACATCTGAAGTATCAATATTTGGAGAGTGCCGTTCTAACCAGTTGTAAGTCCATTTCATTCTTTAGGTATGGAGTAATTATCAAGTACAAGGCTCTGGGGATACAATGGAGACTGATCCTTCAGAGCATTAGACAACCTTTTCAGTGTCATTTTCTTTTTTTCTTTTTTTTTCTTTTTAATATATTTTATTGATTTTGTACAGAGAGGAAGGGAGAGAGATAGAGAGCTAGAAACATCGATGAGAGAGAGTCATCAATCAGCTGCCTCCTGCACACCCCCCACCGGGGATATGCCCGCAACCAAGGCACATGCCCTTGACTGGAATCGAACCCGGGACCCTTCAGTCCCCAAGCCAACGCTCTATCCATTGAGCCAAACCAGTTTCGGCTCAGTGTCATTTTCAAAAGAAATTTTTAAAGTACAGTATGTTGGGTTACAAAGGGAACCAATCCTATCTAATAAAGTGGGACTATATTAATAGATTGTTATGCCCTCATAAAGATGGCGGTGTCCTCAGCCAATAAGGGGATATGCTAATTTACTGTCATAACTAAAAGATGGCGGCACCCAGTCCTTTTAGCCCCACTAGGTCAAAAGGCACACAGCACAGCTGGGCCGACCCCCAGGGGTTCCAGCTCCTTCGCACACCTGCCTCCAGTGTCCCTCAGTCTCCTCAGCAGCCCAGGGCCAGCCTGAGGCACAGGCAAGCCTTGGATATTGGCTGCTGAGCCATCCAGGGCCACCCAAGGTTCAGGTAACCAGGGCAGGCTGAGGCTTGAGTTGCTAGCAGTGGCAGCAGTAGAGGTGTGATGGTGTCACCTTCCCCTGATTGCCGGGTCACCTCCTGCCCTTGAGGGCTCCCAGACTAAAGGGCTCCCAATACTAGAGACCCATGCATTGGGTCTCTAGTATTGAAATAATTATCAAAAATTGAAATTTGTGGTATACTTTATTAACTCATTAAGCTCTAGCACTGGCTGTAATTTTAACATTGAACATAAAATACTTCAAGTTGTCAACATTTCCTGAGGACACTACTCTGGTCTCCTACATTCAAATTTTTTTGAAGTTATTAAAAATGAAGATGTGACTTTTTCCCATCCAAGTTCATGGACCCCCTGAAATCTATGACCCCTGTAATGACAGGAACTTTCTCTTTTTTACTGTTGACTCTAAGGCCTGATTAAGAACTTCAGAGACCTGTTCACTGGAAAACTTGTGATGCCTTGCCTCCATTTCAAAGTCAAATTATACCACAAAGTGGATTTAAGGAAGTTCTCATATTTCTCATGGTGGAGATAGACACTTTTTAGGACTTAACCTCCTTTTGTTTTATTAGGAACAGGCAGGGAAAGTGACTGCAAGTGGTCTCACTCGGGTGTAAGCTCCATGAGGTAAGGTTGTGTAGTGTTTTCATTGTAGCTGGTGGTACTGCAAAAGCCCAGGAAAGTGCCTGGCACACCCAACAGGTTTATTTTCACCTAATCAGTCTCAATTCTGGTAACTCCCTACACACTGCTCAAACATTTCAGCATTAACCTACCTCCACTGGAAAGTAAGAAACCTCTTAGAAATTCAATAACTAAATGAGATAGGTACTGTTACAAGTATATTTTTAGCTACTGTTTTCATTCAACTGTACTAGAGTAAGATTCACCTCTGTTTTATAAAAAAAAAAAAAATGTTTTTATTTCAGAGAGAAGGGAGAGAGAGAGAGAGAGAAACATCGATGAGGAAAATCATTGTTTAGCAGGACTCACACTGGGGACCAAACCTGCAACCGGGCATGTGCCCTGTCCAGGAATTGAACTCTGACCTCCTGGTTCATAGGTTGGCACTCAGCCAGCCACACTTGTTTTGGGTCACCTACATTTTTAAATTAAGGCACAAATCTGCTTAAGTTTACCCATTAACAAGTAGAGGGATTAAGACTAGAACCATATGTACACAAATAATTAAAAAAAAAAAAAAAAAAAGACTAGAACCCATGCTCTGGCTAGGTAGCTCAGTTAGAACGTCCTCCAAATACACCAAGGTTGTGAGTTTGATCCCTTGTTGGGGCATATACAAAAACAACCAATGAATGTATAGATAGGTGGAACAACAAAATAAGTTTTTCCCTCTAAAATCAATAACAAAAAAGTAGAACCCAGGTTGTTGACATTTAAGATCTACTACATAAGAACTGCGACTAGTATCTTTTAGGGAAAATGAGAAAGTAAATGCCCCAGACATAAGTTTATCTCCCATTTGGCGAAGACTACAAATACGTTGTGTTCTTTCCCCACACATTTCCCAAGGAAATAAAACAGCCATATGAAACAAAGGCCATATGGTGAAACAAAAGTTCCATAACTATTTAAAGCAGGTTTTTAAAAAATAAGTTGGAGTTCATCCTGCAATTTGCTCTACCTTCACATTATACTTGGTATTTTTTCTACCCTCTAAAAATTTCAAGGTTTCTGGGGTTTGTGTTGGTAATTTACAGCTGAAAGGATTTAATAGCTCTTCTCCCTCTCCACCCCTTATGGATATCAGTTTGTTTCCACATAGCTTGTATAGAAAGCTATAAAGCAGTTAAGACAGAAACATTGGACTGAAAAAAAAATATTAAAGTTAAGAGTGATTTTCAAGCCCTTTTGATCCATATGGGGCGCAGTAGGCCAATATCTAAATTAGCACATCAGTATTTGTCAACTACCAAGGCATTGGGAGAGGCACCTCGCACAGACACCAGAGTGGTGTTACTGGACAGCGCCCTGAGTTATTGGAAGAGGGCTGTCCAAACCTTGATCCTATCTTCTCTCATAAATGAATTTATACAAGAGACCATTGTGTTATAAAAGCCAATTAAAATAATTCAAGCATGCAACTTTATTTTAAAAAAGCAAAGAAAGCAAACCTATACATCTGGTTTATGAAGTGCAGATGGGCTCTCAGCTAATCAAGAGTTGGTTGTGGGCCCTGATCAGTTTGGCTCAGTGGATAGAGAGTCACCCTGGGGACTGAAGGGTCCCAGGTTCGATTCTGGTCAAAGGCATGTACCTTAGTTGCGGGCACATCACCAGTGGGGTGTGTGCAAGAGGCAGCTTCTCTTCCATCGATGTTTCTAGCTCTATCCCTCTCCCTCTCTGTAAAAAAAAAAAAGGTTTGGGATCTGAGGTGTTATCTACCCTCCTATCTATAGGGTTCAAAATTTCTTTGCTGAGTATTTTGATAAAGATTAATTCCCAAGGTCCCTTTTTTGTTGTAGCCTTCCCAGAATTCATGAGAAGCACCTGGCAACTTTATCTTGTCGAGCCTTGAGACTGTTGGCTTCTCTGCAAAGAAATAAAACCCCTGTTTTTCTTTTCCCCCTTCCTTTCTGCATTCTCTCCTCTGGGAGGTTTTTAACCATTTGTTCTCAAGTTTTCTTGGCTGGATAAGATAGGCTTGTTAGTTATAAACTGGCTGTAAATTGGCCACACTTGCCTTATTTTAACCTCTGTTAACCTACTCCTCCTGCTCTGGAATTGTAATACAGTATAAGGACCTTATTGCCATTCTAAATGTCAAGGATTTCTGAATTCTGCATTACACTTGGTCCCAAGGGTTTAGGATAAGAGATTGTCCACCTATAGTTGCTTCCTTTTCAAAATAGTCATCTGGGTGATTTGGTACTAAAAGCATAAACACTGGCAATGTGCCTTAAACTTTACAGAACCTTAATTTTCAGTATTATTTTTTAACTTGTAGTTCTTATGCAGGCTACCTGACACAATTTTATATTTTGAAAATAATTGTGGACATACTGCATCATTAATACTTGACCTGGAAGAGTAGAACCAGTGACTAATTGTGGGCCAATGAGAGAAAAGCCACCTCTAAAATTCACAGTGATCTTCGAAAGCTGATTGCCATGTCTAGGACAACTTGATCCTACCTTCTAACTCCCTGTCAGCACAAAGTTGCAAAATGACTGGCTCATAAACCAGTAAGTTGTCTTTGGTGGCCAGATGTTACCTTTGCCTGGAGTTAATAATACACTCTTCTGCCTGGCACTTACACAGTAGATATGCAGAAAATAGTTTGTAAACAAGTTGCAAGTTGTTAAATTATAAAACTAATGGATTGTTTAGTCCTGTAACACTTAAGTTTATTTTCTAAAGGAAGCCTGCAAAATTACTCCAGAATGACTGTGTTGGTGACAGTAATTACTGTTTTCCTTTGGGATCTGATTCTTTATGTAAAAATTTTTAAGATGCAGGTTTGTCAATGGTTGTTCCATCCTTAATTTCTTTAAAACACACACACACACACACACACACTTCGCAATTAGATAAAGTATTTTTAGATAAATTACCTCCATTTGGTCTGTTCTGTCACCCAGTAAGGTTTGTTTTTTTTGTTTTTTTAATCATCAGCCACAGTTCTATGAAGGGATATTAAAGGGTCTCCTGTTGTACATTATAGCACTAATGTTCATAATAGAACATTAAGATAGGTTGAAGGCCGAAGGACTTGTATACATGCATATAAGTACAACCAATGGACATAAAACTATGGGGAGGGAGGGGCTATGGGGGAGGGAGGGAGGGGGGCAAAAAAAAAATCATTAAAATATGTAAAAAATAAATAAATAAATAAATTAAAAAAAAAAAAAAAAAGATAGGTTGAAGGTTTCTATCATCAGCCTACACTCAGTCTTGCCCTACCTCTGCCTCATATTTCCCACTTGTTTATATATCATTAACTATATTGCGAGTACATAGTACATTGTTAAATTCCTTTGAGAGCAGGTACTATAACATATTTTCATATTTCCTATGTTTAAAACACTTGTTTCTTCAGCAGATATTCATTGAATATCCACTAGGTGTCAGATATACGAGGCAGATGCTGGGGACATCAAGATAACTAAGCACAGACATGCCCTTAGGAGGCTAACAGTTGGGGTGGGGGGTGGGGAATAGATCTGTAAGCTGCAGAATAATATGTTGTAGTGGAGTAGGAGATTTCCTGGTTTAAGAGAACTAACAACCATCATTTCCAAAAATATCTCCCCAATAAGGCAATTTTCTCTGCGACCAAATTTCCACCATTATAATATCATTTTTTATAAGACTACTATTGCCTCTGGGCAGGAGAACTAAGGGTTAGTAATGAGCTTTGAAATTACTTTTTTCCCTTTTAAAAATGTTCTGTTAATTTAAAATGTTTAATACAGTAAGGCTTATTCTTTTGATGTATAATTCTATGCATTTTAACAAATGTATAGAGTTGTATGATCACTACCATAGTCAAGATATAGAAGTTTCATTACCCCCCAAAATTTATTGTACTGCCCCTTTTATAAATTGTGTTATAGTAAGAAAAAAATAATTTTTCAAAGAGTAATGTTTGTTCCATGTACAACTTTTTTTTTTTTATACAAAAAAAGGCATTTGGGCAGCATCTTTTCTAAAAAGCCTCTGTAGAAATACAGATACCCAAAGAAGGGCTAAATAACCCTGGCCAGTTTAGCTCAGTGGATAGAGCATCAGCCTGTGGGCCAAAGGGTCCATGTTTGATTTCAGTCAAAGGCACGTACCTTGGTTGCAGACTCCTCCCCAGCCCAGGCCCTGGTAACAGGAGGCAACCAGTTGATATGTTTCTCTCACATTGATGTTTCTGTCTTTCTCTCATCCACTCTTTCTAGAAAAAGCATGGAAAAATATCCTTGGGTGAGGATTTAAAAAAAAACCGGGGGGGGCCTAAATCATTACACTATTGTTATGTGTACCTTAGTTTATAGATCAAGCTATTGAAAAGTTTCTCAAAAGGTGTATGTAGTATAAGTGTGTTGGGTTAGAAAGCAGATGGGGTCAGTGGAGGGAGTTGGAGATTAGGGTTTGACAGTGTGTTCTGAACAATGTGCATGCAACAATATATACAGGAAGTATGTTTTGAGTAGTATTAAGAGCTCTTGGTTTTCAAAGACAGGGGGCACCAAAGAAAGGAAATGAGCCCTGAAGAGGGCTGTCCTTCGTGTGAAGTTTGATCTGGCTTTCTCTGAGATACAGAACTGAGATTCCATTACTGACTTGGCCAGTAGCTTACCTTGAAAAGTCACTTCCCCTTTCTGTGATTCAATTTCATTATTGTAGTAAATAAGGTTAGATTAATTCTATTCCAAAGTCCAATTCAGTGTTCTCCAATTACAAGTAAAACCGTGTGTGTGTGTGTGTGTGTGTGTGTGTGTGTGTTTCCCAAGTTTCCGTCTACCAACTTTTTTTTTTTTTTAGAATATGTTTATTAAAGTTAGGGAAGTGAAACAAGGGAGGGCTTAGGGTGGAAGAAGCAACAGATAGACTAGGCAGGGCTGCTTTAGCTCTCTAGAAACATTATGGGAAAGAAGTAAGCCAAGGCGAGGCCACTGTCAGCTCACTGGAGAGTCAGAGAAAAGGGACCTTGGGGACAGAGTTAGGGGGTTAGCCCAGGATGAGTTGCTGCTGCTGCTCATCGCTCCCCGTAGAGTTTAGGAGATGCACGCCTGTGGGGAAAGGAGAGTGGGAAGGATAGGCAAGGGCATGCTACCAGGAGGGAGTACCTACTCTGTCCTCCAATTTTAACTGAGGAGACACATGTAGATGACAAAACCAAATGCTAGCAAGCATTATGATCTCATAAAATTTCATGTAAATTGCCTGGCCAGGTTCAGTTGCTTAGATTATCGAATCCAAGGTTGTGGGTTTAATCCCTGGTCAGGGTACATACAAAAAGCAACCAGTGAATGCATAAATAACTAGAACAATAAATCCATGTCTCAATAACTTTTTTTTTAATTTCATGTAAGTTGCTGTCAAAAGTTGCAAAGTTAAGGCTGATCTGAACTGGACACCAGTGATATAGCTCCCTGATCCTCAGCCTTCTCATTTATAGAATGACTGTATATACTTTAATGTTCCCTGTAGTTCTCATATGTTACAACTGTGAAAACTGTTAAAACTTACCAGTGTTGCTTCTATTCTCATTTCCACTGGGTCTGTACCTGTTCTGATTTTGAATATTTTAGTTTATTTTTATTAGCCACTATTGATGTAGTACCTTCTATGGGTCAGAGCTTTTAATGTAAGGTAGTTGACCTACATTACTTAAAGGCTTTTATAGTGCTGCCATCCTTTTCAGATATACAGATACAGGAAAAATCACACTATGCCTCCTATTCCCATCTTGGATAATATAGTTAGTCCTAAGGCAAGATTTTCTTTCAATGAATATTAAAAGTAGCACAAAGGCCCTGGCCAGTGTGCTCAGTGATCAGAGTGTCAACCATGCATCGGAGGGTCATGGGTTGGGTTCCCAGTCAAGGGCAGGTACTTGGGTTTCAGGCTAGAGCACTCGCCCCGGTCAGGGGCATGTGCGGGAGGCAACCAACCCATGAGTCTCTCTCACACGGATATTCTTCCCGCCTCCTTCCCTTTCACTCTTGGTCTAAAAATCAAAGGAAAAAATATCCTTGGCTGAGGATTAACAATAACAAAAAGTAGCACTAAAGAAGGGGAGATGTATGTTTTAAACTGATAAGTGAAGGGAAATGAACTAATGTTGATAGCTTATTGTTATGCACTTTATAAATATCTATCTTTTTTCAGGTGATTGAGATAAGCAGATAAGAAATCACAGAGCCTGCTTGTTTTGATAACAAAAATGATAAAAACTTCATTGAAAATTTTCAGAATATTTGTTTTCACGTTATTCTCTACTGTGAGGGCATGGTGCTTTATGTAGGGTATGACAGATACGTGTTGAATCAATAGGGATTTTTCTCATACCCTAACGTAGTGGTTCTTAGGGTCCATTAACCTCTTAGAATATTAGAAAAGCTGTGGCCCTATTTAGGATGTCACCTCCTCCATGCACAAAAAAAGGAACAACCTTAACCACTTTATATCTGTACAGGTATCTGGAATGCTTTTTTCATGTGCCCCAGGTTAAAAACTCAACCCAGGAAACATTTCTGGGTATCCAGGCAGCCTACAAGCATAGTTCCATAAATTTACAGCGTTACCATCCTTTCTTGGTCCTTTCCATATTAGGGAGAATCATATCATGCTTCCTGAGCATTAACTACTGGTCGTGTACAGTTTTTTTTTTTAATGATCAAAGATTGTATTCAACTTGCTTTTAGGTTTATTAATATATGCTCAACCAAAGGATCGGCATCTTTCTTTTCAAAGTTTTTGAAGTAAGGATTATGTGATTTTAAAAATGAAGAAATTAAGGTTTGTCCCAAAGCTTACCTTACGTGAGTCATATTATCTCTAGCTTTCTATTATTACCTCTCTCTGTTCAGAAACCCACTTAAAACAGTTAGGCTTGTGTCCTCATCAGTGAAATTTTATCCGTATAGAAAGATGATGAAAATTTTTTCTTGTCTCATAGTGGAGGAGAATGGCATGTGAAGCAAATAGAGTTGATTACTTGTGTTAGCCAGGGTTTGAGGTGCCGACCTCCTGGCAGTAGAAAATTCGAGTATAACTACAGCAGCTCTCTACACACAGGGATTTTCCTGACCAAAGACTTGACTCTTGAACAGGTCAATTGAAAAAAAAATCCAATATAGAGTGGACCCATGTTCAAGGGACAACTATAAATAATTCTAAATGTGATATGAGAAATACCCCATAAATTGAGGGTTAGACTGGTTAAAGTAAATGCTGTGTAAATTCTAAGGTTTTTAAAGTACATGTAGCTCTTATATAAAATTCTCAGAACCTTATATAGTCCAGATGCTTACCTAAGCAAGACTGAGTCTAATCAGGTTTGTGACAGAAGAAATTTGAGTTGTTTACTATTCTTATTAAACTGGGAAACAAGGAGTTTTGATCAAATAAATTAATGTTTGAGCACTTACTCTGTGCCAGTTTTAATTTTGCGCAAAAGCTTTCTAGGTGAGAGTGAGTCTCCTTTGTTCTATTACCCAAGGCTTCACAATTACAGATTACATTTAATCTCTTCCTGTAAACAAAGTTACAGAAGTTTCTTAATATTTATAACAACTCTGTAAAATACTGTTAATATTGGTATCCCTGATTTATCAATAAGAAATTTGGAATCTTAGGAGATTAGAGCCCTAGCTGGTTTGGCTCAGTTGAATAGAGGGTCAGCCTGCAGACTGAAGGGTTCCAGGTTCAATTTCCAGTCATAGGCACATGCCTGGATTGCGGGCTTGATCCCCAGTAGGAGGCATGCAGGAGGCAGCCAATCAATGTTTTTTTTTTTCTATCATTGATGCTTCTATCTCTCCCTCTCCCTTCCTCTCTGAAATCTATAAAAATGTATTTTTAAAAAAAGAGATTGGAAAATTTGTCCAACAATATGATAAAACTAAGACTTTGAACTCTAGCTGATTTGACTCCAAAGTCTGTACTCCGTTCGAATATGCTACCAAAGCTTCCAAGCATTATTATCGCTAATCATTCTTGGTTTTTGCATAGTACTAGTAAGTGTGGCTGTCCCTGGGGGGAGGAGAAAGTTAGTTGGAAGGGTTTAAGGGGGAGTTTCTGGGCCACTTCTCATAGGTGGTGTCTTCCTTTGCAAACAAGTTTTTTGTGAAATCAGGTTGGAAGGATAAATAAGGTTGAGGAAGGTGGAGGTGGTGTGGTTGAGCCTGTTCAAGAACTGATTACATCTGAGCCTCTGTCCCTTTTGCCTATCAGCTGACTCAGAACTGGCTGATGGCCAAAGCCCAGGCAGGTTGATTTCATGGGCTGTGAACTTCAAAGGATCTGATTCCTGGCACTGCTATGCACATTGCTTTTCAGAGGGCACGGTCTTATAGGAGAGGGAACAGGATGGTCTCCATGAAGTGTTTGCAAAAGGCCTTGGCAGTGTTTGCTTTAAATCCAAATACACACACAGCTTTGTTCTAGCCCTGAGCACAGTTGAAAATTGGGTATTTAAACCATAAGTGTTCCTCTACCCTAAACACAGCAGTTAGA